AAAAAAATTATAATACAAAAGATTAATAGATAAACAAAGGAGAATAAAACAACTTACGCCTGGTGGTGGAATTGGTGGTGGTTGAAGAAATCGTACTCGAATATTTTGTGTATAAGTAAGTGGACCACCTGGAGCTGGACGACGAATAATTTGTGGATTACTATCTTGAAATAATCCTCGTGAATCTGTTGCATATCTTTGAACAGAAGTTGTATTTACAGATTCTGATGATGATGCACCATATCCTGCAGCTCCGAATCCAGCACTACCACCAAAGCTTGCAGCTTCGTATCCGGAACTACCAGCTAAACCTGCAGCTCCATATCCGGCACCACCAGCTAAACCAGATTCACCTTGATAAGAAGCTCCATAGCTAGCTCCACCTAAGGCTCCTCCTGATGATGATGATGATTCGAATGATGATGAATTTGATGTAAAACCATTACCACCACCATTATTATTGCGTTGTGCAGTAAAATTACGGAATTCATTTATATCTAATGAGTTGTCACCATTAGTATCAGCTTGACGAAATTCGGAGTCGGACATGATTATAAATACGATGTAAGAAAAGTTATTCAACGATTACCAATAGAACAATTGTGAATAAAAACCATAAAATATCTGTGTTTATATACCACACAATCAACAAAATTTCTTTTGTGGACCTGTCAATATTTTATTTTTTTTCTTATACTAACCATATTTTTTATCCCATTATATTCTCCCTATTTTCTGTTTTTTAAGTAATCGATTCGATTAATTGTATGATGTGATATGCTTGGTTAATTCCGAAACAGAGGTACTTTTCTGTATTGTGGTTAACTTTTTTGTATCATCCCTTTGAGAATTGACAGATGGATATTGTATTTACAAAATATAATTTATCAGTTTTATGAGGTGTCCTTGAGAAAGATACGCAATGCTTTTTCTCCATATTTACTTCACGTGTCAGTCAACAAAAGTATTATTGAGTATATACATGTACATAATACTCTTACTAATTCATGTTATTTAAAAGTTTATAATAATTTAAAATAATATTATCAGATATCTTCTTCAATCTTGAATACATTTTAACGATAAATTATTAAAAACCGAGTTGAAAAAACTTTAATATAAAATAAAATATTGTTTTAGATTACTTTTTACATGATTTCGGCATACAACATTAATTTCCAGTTAAAAATTTTCTAAAACAACCTAAACTTCTCACGAAAACGTTTGATCAGTATAAATGTATTTACTATTATTTTAGTCTCATCGAGTAAAAAGCTTTGTAAAGTATAGACAGACATATACTGGATAAATTTTGAATAAAATCCTAATTGTATCTTTATATGATTACTTATCATTTGATATGCTGATTGATTTCCTTTTTTTT